TTTGTAGGCCAACATTCAGCACTGTATAGCATCGTCGGACGAATCGCCGTCCTATAGAACTTACCTTTTAGCTTTGTGGCACCCTCTTATCACAGAGAACGCCCGAAGCTTGACGTCATTTCAACCAACCGGCTGCAATTCTATGCCTAACATCTTCATCAATGTCGCCATCCTTTTGTAGCATCGATCCTAAATACCGGAAAGTCTCCTTCTTGGCCACCACTTGCCCGTCAAGGCTAACATCACCATCATCATGAGTAGCCATGCTGAAAGCGCACGTCATGTACTCGGTCTTCGTCCTACTAAGTCTGAGCCTTTTGACTCTAATGTGTCCTTCTACAGCTCTAACTTCCTATTTACCCCGACCCTACTCTCGTCAACTAGCACCACATCATCAGCAAGGAGCATACACCAAGGGAGATCACCTTGTATGTCCCTTGTGACCTCATCCATCACGAAGGCAAATAAATAAAGGCTCAATGCTGACCCCTGGTGTAGTCCTATTTTAATTGGGAAGTCGCTGGTATCGCCCCCACATGTTCGAACACACGTCATCGCATCCTTGTACATATCCTTGATGAGGGTAATGTACTTAGATGGGACTTTGTGCTTTTCTAAGGCCCACCACATGACATTCCTCGGTACTCTGTCATAAGCCTTCTCAAGGTCGATAAAGACCATGTGCAAGTCCTTCTTTTGGTCCCTATATCTCTCCATCAACTGTCGTAGTAGGAAAATCGCCTCCATGGTCGACCTTCTAGGCATAAACCCAAATTGGTTTTGGGTCACACTCGTCACTCGTCGTAGGCGATGCTCGATAACCCTCTCCCAGAGCTTCATCGTATGGCACATCAACTTAATCCCACGGTAGTTACCACAACTTTGAACATCACCCTTGTTCTTGAAGATCGGTACTAAGGTACTTCTCCTCCATTCATCAGGCATCTTGTTTGACCGAAAGATGATGTTAAAAAGCTTAGTTAACCATACTAACGCTCTGGCGCCCAAACATCGCCACACCTCAATAGGAATACTATCAGGGCCCATTGCTTTACCTCCCTTCATCCTCTTTATAGCCTCTCCGATCTCTGCCTCTCGAATTCTCCTCACCAAGCATCTATTGGTATCCTCAAATGAGTCAACCAACTCCAGGGTAAGACCCTCACTCTCCCCATTAAACAATTTGTCGAAGTACTCACGCCATCTGTCCTTGATCTCCCCATCCTTCACCAGTGGCCGATCCGACTCATCCTTGATGCATTTGATTTGGTTGATGTCCCTTGTCTTCCTCTCCCGAATCCTAGCTATCTTATAAATGTCCTTCTCCCCCTCCTTCGTGCCTAGGCGCTGATAGAACATCATAGGCCTGACCCTTCGCTACACTCACGGCACGCTTTGCAGCCCTTCTCACTATTTTATAGCTCTCAATGTTGGTTGCACTCTTGTCGAGGTGGAGACGCTTGAAACACTCTTTCTTCTCTTGAATAGCCATTTGCACCTCGTCATTCCACCACCAAGTGTCTTTCGCATCCTGCTTGCCTCCCCTACTCACACCAAGTACTTCTGCAGCCACCTTCCGTACACATGTTGCCATCTTTAGCCACATGTCGTCTGCATCTTCTCCTTCTTCCCAAGGCCCCTCGCCTAGCATCCTATCCCTAAACGTCTGCGCCACTTCCCCTTTAAGCTTCCACCACTTCGTTCTCACGGTCTTGACACATTTGTCCCGGTGGACACGTACTCGGAATCGAAAGTCCGCCACCACCAGCATAAGCTGGGGGACAACACACTCCCCAGGTATCACCTTGCAATCTACGCAAGCGCGTCTATCCTCCCTCCTTGCAAGGATAAAGTCGATCTGACTTGAGTGACGTCCACTATGGAAGGTCACTAGGTGAGATTCCCTCTTCCTAAACATAGTACATAGAAAAAAAAAAAAACAATATCTAATCGAACAACCAACTTACTCCACCCCCCAAAAAAGCGTCGGTAACATATCTAAGTACAAACTATATCAATCCCAAAATAGGAGAAGGAATTTGAGAAACCATATTAGGAGCACAAGACAACTTAAAATAAAGTTGAACATGATTAAAGAAATGTCTGACCCCTTGGCCACAAAGGTTAACAATCAAATTCAATAGTCAAAACAAGTCGTCCCGTAAAATAAGGCAACAAAATCCGATGGACCATAAAAATAGCACAGGACAAGAAAACAGAACAAAAATACAAGGTTAAAAAAAAAACAACGAAATAAATACATCATTTATAGGAATTAATTAGTACATGCCAGAGCTTAAAAAATCTAATCGAATTAATGTTCAATCCATTAACCACAACGAGGTAGCACAACCAAATTCAAAGAGCAAATCAAGTCTTCCTGAGGTAGGCAAGAAATTGGATGAACTATATTGGTAGCAAAAGAAAACGGTACAAATCAAAGTTAAGAGCATAAGAAAAAGAAAAAAAAAAATAGGGCTCTAGTAGAAAGACAACTGGTGCATAAACAGAACTAAAACAAATCAAATGAATGTTCAACTCCGTAGCAACAAACAAGTAGCAAACATGAATTCAAAGAAAAAAAAAACAAAGTATGGAAAAGGAATTCGAGAAACCATATTAGGAGCATAATGCCCTGAATATAAAGGGTCATTGCTAAAAAAAATATTAGGACATAGAACAAATTGAAAAATATAATAGCATGTTCTACCCCTTAGCTGCACATACAAAGCAAACAGAATTTAAAACCCCAACCAAGCCGTCCCTCAATGTAGGGCAAGTAAATTGGATGGCTTGTATTAATAAGCACAAAAGAATAGAACAAAAAATCAATGTTGAAAAAATAAAGAAATAAAGTGATCTATTGCAGGAAAATAATAATATATAAGCACACTTAAAAATCAAATCGAATTTCCAATCCCTTGGCCACAAATAGTCAGCAAAACCAAATTCACGGCCCAAACCAAATCATCCCAACGGGGCAAGAAAGTGAATGAACTGTATTGATAAACACGAGAGATTAGTACAAAGAATCAAAATTAAGAATATAAAGAAAAAAGGGAACTTAGTTGGAAAATATTAGAATATAGAAAAATCTAATTAAAAAAATCAAATTGAATGTCCAACTCTTTAGCCATATATAAGTAGTACAACCAAATTCAGTGCCAGGACCATGCCGTCCCTCAAGTTATGACAAAAGGTATGACAATGAAATTGGATTAATCTTATTGCTAGCGTATGAGACAGAACAAAAAAATCAAAGTTAAAAGGACAAAGAAATCAGATTAATCATATTGAAAGCGTATGAGACAGAACAAAAAGATCGAAGTTAAAAGGACAATAGGAAAAATAAATCATGAACATGGAAACATTTGTACGTAAAAAAAACACAATATAATCGAACAAAACCTCTCCCCCACCCCCAAAAAAATCATAGGTAGCACAATAAATTCAAAGACAAAAACATATCAATCCCAGAGTATCACAAAGGAATCCAAGAAACCACCCCCAAAAAAATCATAGGTAGCACAATAAATTCAAAGACAAAGACATATCAATCCAAGAGTATCACAAAGGATCCATGAAATCATATTAAGAGCACCAAGAGAGTGAAAATTAAGAGTAAGATTTAAGGTTGCAAGTTCTCTAAAATAAAATATTTTATAGTTTGTTAAAAATTTATAATCTCTAATCAGTGGCTCACAATCGCATCCACAAGTCACAATACACATCTAATTTAGGCCCCAAAACTGAGTATGATGCCAATGTATTAGAAAATTAAAGATGGCAAACCGTTTAAGAACAAAAATTATTGCTAAGGAAAAAAAGTAGACATAGACAACTAGGAAAGAAAATGAATGTCTAACCCCTTAGCCACAAATACATAGCGTAATTGAATTCAAAGACCCAACCAAGTCATGGGTAGGGAAAAAAAAATCGGATGGACCGTATTGATAGCACAAGAAAATAGAACAAAACATCAATGCTAAAAATATAAGGTATTGATAGCACCAGAAAATAGAAGAAAATAGAATAAAGAAATAAAGAGATCATTGATAGGAAAATATTTGTATATAAGAAACATTTAAAAATCTTACAGAATGACCAATCTCTTAGCTACAAGTAGGTAACACAACAAAAATCCCAAACCAAATCGTACCGAAGGCAGGACAAAAGGTTGGATGCACTGTTACGTAACGAGAGTAGTACAAAACAAAATATCAAAATTAAAAACATGACGAAAATACATAATCTTAGTTAGAAAATATTAGTACCCAGACAAACCTAATAAAATTCTATTTGAATGTCAACTCTTTGGCAAAAAATGAGTAGTACAACCAAATCCAAAGCCCAAACGAAGTCATCCCCCAAGGTAGGGGAAAGAAACCAGATTAACCATATTGATAGCGGATGAGAACGGAACAAAATATGAAAGTCGAAAAGTAAAAAAATGATTCACTAATAGTGAAATATTAGTATATAGACAAGTAATTTCTGATGAATGCCAAGTTGATGGAGGACAACTTTCTATCAAAAGAATTAAGTGGAAATTCGACAGTTGAGATAATCCAAAAGTCCAAGATCATCCAAAGGTCCAGTAGAAATAAATCGTATGAAACTAGATGACGTAGTTTATAATCGAAATAGTAACCACATCTGAAAGAGTTCTGCTATTGTCAAAAAACTGAGGCACAACAAGGTTTGGCCGGTCATAATTAAGGCAGCAAACAATATACCACACTCATAAACACTAGGTCTCACTCAGATAAAGCACTAAGGCATCAAATTTTCCCAGATCAAATAACTGTACAACATGAAATAATTATAAATAACCAATTAACAATGCAAACAAAAAAAAAAGCAATTAACTCAAAATCACCTGCGACTAATTTAAAAGAACAAGAAGAAGAAGAAGAACAAGTGACCTGACTTGAATTGGAGTCGAAAGACTTTAATCGCACCGTAATTTGTTCAACGCTATTGAAATCTTCTTGCATTCTTCAATCGCTATTTTGACCCGTAACTTTCTTTTCCCAGAAGACCCAGAATCTTGACAACACAAAACGAAACGGGGACTTGAGAATCGGAGAAGAAAAAATACGGCTACCGATAGAAAAACTTCAAAAGCCCAACGCCACAAGTACACAACAAACAACTTACCTCCGGTCAAATTTCTTTCCCACCTTCGCCTGCTGGTAGTACAAGACGATCAGATATCTGTAGGCAACGCTGAATCCCGAATGGCGTTCGGCGGCCTCGGCGTCGAAGATAACGTCGAACGCCAAGAAGGCAGTTCCGCCCGCGTATTTGTTCGTGCCGATGCGGATATTGCGAGCGTAGAATAGGTGGTTGACCTCCGGCAGGAAGCGAGTGATTGTACTGCGGAGGCTGGTGCGGCCAGAGACGGTGAATTTGAGGGATTTTTCCGAACTTTAGGGTTGGTAATTTAAGGTTTTGGGGAAAATCTTTCCTTAAAACAATTGTTACTCATCTACTTTCCTTAAACATCCTTTCGCTTCATTTATTACACAACGGTAAAAAAATCCTTAAACATCCTTTCATTTATTAAACAAATATCAATATGTTTCGTGCAACACACAAATGTGAAATATCTATTAAAGTGAATAAATCAATTAATATAAAAATATATATTTTAATTTAAATAATAATAAAATTTCAGGGGAAAAAGAAATTTGATTAAAAGATTTTGATTACTATTAGCTAACTCTAATGGCGTGTTATCAAAATCATCCTAAATTATTTCATTAAATCAGTTGCAAAATATGAATTAGATATATAGGTTTGTTTATTTCTAATATTATGAATATCATGCAAGCCCAAATGGGCGGAATCTAAGGGGGTGATTGTTTACCATTTGTACAGTAATTTTTTTTACTCAAATTCAAATTTTACTCGACTTTAACTCAACCACATTATCTCCAATATTATTATATAATTAAATAACATCAACAAATCATTATTACATATCACACCAACTTTAATTCACTATTCATCTACTCACATAATTTTAACTAATTTTAACTAAATATCACTTCCATACATTTTCTCTTATATTTACATCAAATCAACTTTAACTATTTTATTTTAAATACTATTTTAATATATCCACTAACAACTAACCATACCACTTTTTCTTAAACTTAACCATAATTAAAAAATTCTAGATTTTTTACTATTCAAAACATAAACAATCACCCCCTAAGTAAAAACTGATACCCAGTTGAATAATTGGGTAGGTAGCTAGGAAGCAGCAAGAGAAATCTCTAGAGGTTACGAATCCTAGTAAAAATGTGTCATTTTTTCATAAGGATCGATCGGGAGTAGCACGTTTGGTTCATCTTGTTTTGTCAAATTCCTCTTTCTAGCTGCTACAAGAGCGAGGGTCTTTCTTTCTACCTATGACGAATAACTTCTTATTATCATGGCGACTGGCATTGAAAACCGACTCATCTGGAGGTAGGAAAAGGCTAAATGTCTTTCATGAGAATCATAGACTTGGCAACGGGACTTATATTATAACCCAGGAATTGGGCAAGAAAAGCTAGTAGGAAGAAAGACTGGTCTTCAAGGTGATTAACTTCCCACCCGTCGTGCCTGAATATATTCTGTTATGAAACATTTTCGAAACACCGCACAAAGCTTTCCTATGTTATAGGAATTCACGCTCTCAGTAACGAGAAGGTTTCTTGCAACTTCAGCAGAAATGCCAATTTCACCGAGTTTAAGGTAAGGATCCCCGATCATGATCATCCGAAATACATGATCGGTTTTCTTGGGGAGAAGGATGTCCTTTAGCCATCTAACGCCATGAGAAGCTCCTTGGGGTCGAGAGCAACCGCGCAATCAATAAAGATTGAATGCGCTATTACTGCCTACATAACTTATATCCCGAACTTTCAGGAGGTAAGTATCAGACCAGATGTGGTTCTTTTCTTCGTTAGACACTAGAAAACGAATGAGATCAGAAAGGCCATTATTGAAGCAAACAATGCAATAACTTCGGTGAAAGCAAAGCCCAAAATGGCATAACCAAATGATTGTTTAGCCAATGAAGGATTTCGCGCCACGGAATGAATCGAAGAACTGAGGACGTTTCCAATACCCCATAAAAATCCTCCGGCTAAAGCAATTGTAGCAGCTCTGACACCTATTGATTTAGCTCCTTCTAACATGTCGAGTCTCGACATGACATTGTTTCGCGCTTTTCTTTCGCTACTCTCCCTTGAAAGCTATTTTGTGTATCTTCTGTTGCCAGGGAAGAAAGACTGGGTCAGTCCGGCACGTCGCGCTTGCTAATATGGCCCGACTGGCCCTATACAGAAATAGTTTCATTGATTGACCTACCAGGGTTTCTTTCTCATTCATTTGATTCCTGCGCCGCTATCCATGGTTGAATAAAATAATGAGACACAAACTAGATACAGAATAGCTACGTTTCTTTCTATATGATAATATGAGCCGAGGGGGGGGATTTGTTTCAAATAGAAGTCAAGTAAACAGATTCAAGTTAGCCCAGTTTGGTTCCTTGGAAAGGCAGTTCAAAGCAAAGGGTTAACGGGTGGTGGAGTCCCAGGTTTAATATATAGCCTCTGTCTTCCAATCCGTAAACGGTGGATTGACTTGATGGGGTTGGTCCAGTTTCGGGGGCTAGCAGCCTTAACATTCCCCTTGGTTGTTGCTGCTGATGAGGTACAAAGTTAGACTGAGGTGGCTGCTGATAATTGTTGTTCGACCAGGAGAAGCTTGGGTGGTTTCTCCACCCGGGATTGTATGTGTTGGAGTAGGGGTCATTGGGCTGCCTGTTCTGATAACCTTGGAGGGCATTGACATCTGCATACTGTTCTGCCACCTCCTGGTCGAATGCCGACGGGCACACCTCTGATCGGTGTCTTTGAGCTCCACACGCCCCGCATGTATCCACTGCCATGGTCTGGACTGGCTGCATTGTCCGAGCATTCATTAGCCGCATCTGCTCCGTGAGCTCGGCTATCTGATGAGCCATCATGTCCTGCCTAGGGGATGCCTTGTTTACCAACGTCCTCTTCCCTCGACTACTCTTTTGAGACTAATTGGAACTCATCGTCTCAAAGATATCCATCATCTCTTCTGCCGTTCTAGCCCCAATATCTCCACCAGCTGCGTTATCCACCATGTACTGAAGGTTCTGGTGGAGAGCGTCATAGAAGCTGTTCATCAGGAGGGGCGGTGGAAAGTTATGATGTGGGCACTGTCTCTGTAGGTCCTTGAAGCGTTCCCACGCTTCATGAAGTGGCTCGTGCAGTTGTTGGGCAAAAGAGACAATTTGGGACCGCAGCTCTTGAGTCTTTTGGTGGGAGTAATACCTCCCGATGAACTTCGTGTACACTTGCTCCCAAGTGGTAAGAGAGTCTG